TTATGGATTATATTATTTTATGTGTTATTAGTATTATTTTGCTATTAATTGATAACATTTTAGCGAATAATTTTGATTCAAAATATTGCATATTGTTTATAAAATATTATAATATTTAAAAATTTCCAAAAAAATTTTACAAAAATAATTGGTTTCTTTGCAAAGGAAAAAAAAAAGGAAAAAAAATCATAAAAAAATGTAAAATATCGTTTTTTAAAAAAGAAAATTTTAAAATTTTAAAAAAAAGTATTTTTAAAAAAAGAAAAAAGTTGTTTATTTAACAGAAAAATGACTATTTTGCTGAATAATGGAAGATAAATTTAAATTGATAAAGTGAGAATGTATGTAATTCAGATTATATTTTATTTGTGAATTTTGTTTCATTAACAAAATTTATACTAATTTTTTTTTTTTTTTTTTGAAAAGAAAAAAATGAAATTATAATTTTAAGTAAAGATCAAGATTTGTAGCATCTGTTGCAGATGTCTTTTTTTTCTTTACAATTTGTAGTTAATATGTTGCAAACATCGTTTCAATAAACAATTGATGTAATTAATTTGAAAAGTTTAAAATTTTGATTGCTTTGCTAATAAAGCAATAAATTTAAATTGAATTTTTTTTTAAATTGAAGTAACAATTTTTTTAAATAATTTCTTTTTTTTTTTTTTTGTATTTAAATTAATTTTTTAGTTACTTTATGAAACTGGAATTAGACGTGATGATCCACGTTTAGCTAATTTTTACATGCAATACGACATGATGAACGAAGACATTCCGTTTTGGATATAACATCCAATGAAGTTATAAATGAAAATTTGGATCGTGAAACTTTTAAAAGGTTTTTTTTTTTTTTTTTTTTGATTAAAATTTTAAAATTTGTTTTTTGTTGTAAGCTGTATGTAAGCTTGGAGGTTTTTGTTTTTCAGATATGTTGGTGATGCAATTGGAATTATTGCAAAAGCTTTAAAAAACAACTTGTAATTCCGGATTGGCCAGCATTTATTACAGTTCTTGGTGAAATTTTTGAATCATGTCGGGATTTTAATGATGGAAATGTTAGTTTTATTTTCAATGCTTTTTTTTTTTTTTTTCTATAATTTAATTTAAAAGTAAAAATTTTTGCAGTTTATTTTTATATTATGTTGATTCAAAGTTAGAAAGTTAGAAAAAAATTTATTTAGATTTTATCAAAATCTAAGGAAAAATCTTTTTTTTTTTTCTCGTACGTTCTTTTTTGATGCGTAAAATGTTAAAAGATAAAATGTTAAAAGATGTAATCATTCGGGAGCAATCAATCAGTGTTTTTTTTTTTCTACATTTTATATTTCCTTTGTTTTACTGATAAAACTGATAATAATAATAATAATAATAATAATAATAATAATAATAATAATAATAATAATAATAATAATAATAATAATAATAATAATAATAATAATAATAATAATAATAATAATAATAATAATAATAATAATAATAATAATAATAATAATAATAATAATAATAATAATAATAATAATAATAACAAAACTGATAAAACTGATAGTGTTCCGAATATTCATTTCATCAAGAAGGAATTCTATTGATTCATTTATTTTATAACTTTTTTCCTACTGATATTTTTGTATGACTTATGATGATGAGAAGATGGAATAGTGAATCATTTTACTAAAAAAGAAAATGAGATAGAGGGAGAGAGAGAGAGAGAAAAAAAAATGAAGGGAAATAAGAGCCGAAATTTCCACTTGATATGTTAATTTTGAAATTATTGAAATAGTTTAGAAAAAATTTTTATTTGTGATTGAAATATAGAAATTGTTGAAATGAATCATCACTATTTATGACTTACATTTTTTAAATTTTTTTTTCTTTAAAATATTGTTATTTTCTGGTCTTTTAATTAATTAATTAATGCATTTGCAGCCAATTGATCCATTTGATTGATCATTTGTGATCAATAGGAATACTTTGAAACTCTATACTTTCGGTTTTATTTTCATTTCTTCCGGGATGTTTATTCACAATTTCAAAAGTTTCTTGTTTTTCTAATTTCATTTAATAGCATTTATTCACTACGATCAATTAATTAATCAATCAGTCAATCTACCAATCAATCAATCAATCAATTGATCAATCAACCAATTAATCAATCAATCAATAAATTGTCATCTTAATTGATTATTAAATAGCTATCCAAATAAATTTCAGGTTAATATTTTCAGGTAGCAACATACATTCCGCAATTAGCTCGATCAGATCCAAAAACATGGGCAATGGCTGTTTGTACCATTGATGGACAACGTCGATCATGGGGTGCTACACAAGTACCATTTTGCTTGCAAAGTGTATCAAAACCATTTACCTATGCTATTGCTATGGATGAACTTGGTGCAGAAGAAGTAAGTATACTTACTTTTTTTTTTTTTTTTTTTTAAATTTTGTAAAAATTCTTATAAATTTTAATAATTGATTAACAATATTTGTGTATTTGTTATCTTGAAATTGAAAAGCGAAAAGACAGAAAAATTAAAAAAAAACCAAAAAAAAAACTTTCACTAATTTAACTTTTTTAATTTACTTTTCTTTTTTTTTAAATTAATTTATTTAACTTTGAAAAAAAGAAAAAGAATTTTTTTTTTTTTTTAAAGGTACATAAATATATCGGTCAAGAGCCATCAGGTCGATTATTCAATGAAATTTGTTTGGATCATAATCGTAAGTGATTCAATTTTTCTTTTTATTTTTCTTTTGCTATTTTCTTAGTCAAACTGTGGCATTTGTAAATAAATCATAAATCTAAATAAAAATGACAATGTAGAAATTTTTATGTAAATATTAAATAATTTGTTTAGTAATACATTTATTAGAATATATATTTAGTAATCTTTATTCTTTATATGAAAAAGATGCGAAAAAAAAAAAAAGAAAATATATTGAGGAAAAGTGGTTTTTAAATTTTTATTTATGCATGAAATACATCAATTATGTGCAATAATTATTGTGATTTGCTTTTTTTTTAAAAAAAAAAAAAATTTTATCTTATAATTAATCAAATAAGATATAATTAATTAATTCAAAATTGATTTATATCATTTATAATTAATCAAAATTGATTTATGTCATTCTGGCATTTTGGCAAAAAAACTTTAAAAATTCATATATCATTAGTGGATGAAGTGAAATAATACATATAAATGATGATTTTTTTTTTCTTTTTAACTAATAAAGATAAAATTATTTGGTTAAAAAAAAAAAAAAAATTAAATTTAATTGCTTTTTTTTTTCCCCTATCTAAATTATAAAAGTTAAATTATGTGAATCATAAAGATGTGAATATCTTTTACATTATATTATTAGTTTTTTTCTTTTTCTTTTTTTTTTTGAAATTAATTCTATAATTAAACTTTTTTTCTTCTTTTTTTGAAACTAATTCCATAATTCATTTTATAATTTAAAGTTTTTCTTATGGTGAAAAAGTTTATTTCTATTTCTATAATTTGAATTTAAATGAAGTGAAAAAAAAAAAAATAGATAAATTTGAAAAATGTAATCTTTTTTTTTTTCGAAAATATAAAAAATTTTTTGTTTGTTTGTTTGAATAATTATTTATGCTTATAGCAATTGGTAAATGATTGATTTTTGTTAATTTTAATGTCTAATATTTAGCATTTGAGTGGATTTTCTAATTGTATGTTTTTGCATTTAAATCTATTAGTTTGATAGAAGAAACTAAATTACTTTATGTGATGTTGTTGAAAAGGCAAAAAAAATTCAATTATTAGAGTGAAAATGTTTGCTATCCATTTTTACATTTAAATATCAAACTTTTCAATCAATTATTAACATAAACAAAATATTTTTTGGTGTTTTTTTTTTCTTACTTAGAATTTTAATGAATTTTATTTTAATGAAGATTTTAATTTTAATGAAGTAAAAAAAAAGTGAATGAAATAAATTACATAATTAAAAAATGAAATATGAAATTAAAATAATTTGTGGGAGAAGGAAGAAAGTAAAAAAAAAATAGAGTGAAACATGCAATTATGATTGAAATTTAAATGTAAATTTACATAATTAAAAAATGAAATATGAAATTAAAATAATTTGTGAGAGAAGAAAGAAAGTAAAAAAAAAATAGTGAAACATGCAATTATGATTGAAATTTAAATGTAAATTTACATAATTAAAAAATGAAATATGAAATTAAAATAATTTGTGAGAGAAGAAAGAAAGTAAAAAAAAGGAAAAAAAAATAGTGAAACATGCAATTATGATTGAAATTTAAATGTAAATTTATATAATTGAAAATGAAATATGAAATTAAAATAATTTGTGGTAGAAGAAAGAAAGTAAAAAAAAGGAAAAAAAAATAGTGAAACATGCAATTATGATTGAAATTTAAATGTAAATTTATATAATTAAAAAATGAAATATGAAATTAAAATAATTTGTGGGAGAAGAAAGAAAGTAAAAAAAAAAAAAAAAGTGAAACATGCAATTATGATTGAAATTTAAATGATATTAAAATGAAAAAAAATATATATATATATTTGATATTGAAATGAAAAAAAAAAAATCTATATATATATATATAGATGTATAAGCATAAAACGAAGAAATTTTATTTAAATTATAAATTTTTGAAATTTGAAAAATTTAACAAAAAAAAGAAAAATTTTTTTTTAAATAAAAAGAAAATTAATGGAATAATAATAGAAAAGAAAAGAAATAGGAAAATTTTTTTTTTCAGATAAGCCACATAATCCAATGATCAATGCAGGTGCAATATTAGTAGCATCATTACTTAAACGTTCCAATTCACTTGCTGATCGTTTTGATTTTGCATTGCAATATTTTAAACGATTTGCTGCTGGTGGTTTTGTTGGTTTTAATAATGCTGTTTTTTTATCTGAACGTGAAACAGCTGATCGTAATTATGCATTATCATATTATATGCGTGAACATAAATGTTTTCCACCAAAGACAAGTTTACAAGTAAATAACTTTTTTTTTTTTTTTAGAATATAAATTTGTTTTGTTTTTTTAAATTATGAAACGAAAAATTTCCTTTTGATTTCGTTTTTCTCTTTGAATAATTGAATTTCTTTTTTGTTTGATTTACTTTGAAAAATTTCATTTGATAATGTGAATTTGATAAGTGTTATTTTAATCTAAACAAGTTTACAAGTAAATAACTTTTTTTTTTTTGTTTTCTTTTTTTAGAATATAAATTTGTTTTGTTTTTTTTTTAAATTATGGAACGAAAAATTTCCTTTTAATTTCGTTTTTCTCTTTGAATAATTGAATTTCTTTTGAATTTCTTTTTTGTTTGATTTTCTTTGAAAAAATTTCATTTGATAATGTGAATTTGATAAGTGTTATTTTAATCTAAACAAGTTTACAAGTAAATAACTTTTCTTTTTTTAGAATATAAATTTGTTTTGTTTTTTGTTGTTTTTTGTTTTTTTTAAATTTTGAAACGAAAAATTTCCTTTTGATTTCGTTTTTGAATAATTGAATTTCTTTTGAATTTTTTTGTTTGATTTTTTGAAAAATTTCATTTGATAATGTGAATTTGATAAGTGTTATTTTTCTCAATTTGTAAATAATTTTCTTTTTAGAATATAAATTTGTTTTGTTTTTGTTTTTGTTTTTTTTTTTAGAATATAAATTTGTTTTTGTTTTGTTTTTTTAAATTATGAAACGAAAAATTTCCTTTTGATTTCGTTTTTTCTTTGAATAATTGAATCTTTTGAATTTCTTTTGTTTGATTTTCTTTGAAAAATTTCATTTGATAATGTGAATTTGATAAGTGTTATTTTAATCTAAACAAGTTTACAAGTAAATAACTTTTCTTTTTTTAGAATATAAATTTGTTTTGTTTTTGTTTTGTTTTTTTTTGTTTTCTTTTTTTAGAATATTAAATTTGTTTTGTTTTTGTTTTTTTTTTTAAATTATGAAACGAAAAATTTCCTTTGATTTCGTTTTTCTCTTTGAAAATTGAATTGAATTTCTTTTGTTTGATTTTCTTTGAAAAATTTCATTTGATAATGTGAATTTGATAAGTGTTATTTTGATCTAATCTTATCATCTTACGTAGTTTAAATATTTGGAAAAAAAAAAAGAAATTGAGAAAGAAGAAATATTTTGATGTTTTGTTTTGTTTTTTTTTTATTAGTGCAATTAAATACATAAGAATATATGACAAGGGTTTCAAATTTGTCCTTATTTTGATTTGAAATTTTTTCTTGCTTTTGAAAAATTAAACATTTTAAAAAAATTGTCCAACTATATTATATATCAAATTATTGCTTGCAAAATTTTGATTCGACTTATTATATATTTTATTTTCAAATATGATCATTTTTTTTTTCATAAAAGCATTTGATTGTTTGTTTCGTTTTTTTAGTCCATAACTAACCTAATTTAACCGTAAACAATATAAAATTTGTTTGTTTGTTTGTTTTTTTTAGTACATAACTAACCTAATTTAACCGTAAACAATGTAAAATTTGTTTATTTGTTTGTTTTTTTTTTAGTACATAACTAACCTAATTTAACCTTAAACAATATAAAATTATTGGACTTTTTTTTTTTTACAAAATAAATTGATAGAATTTAATCTAATTTTTTATTTGATAATTTCAGGATACATTAGATTTATATTTTCAACTTTGTTCAATTGAAACAAATGTTGATACATTAGCAGTAATGGCAGCAACATTAGCTAATGGTGGAGTATCACCATTAAGTGAGGAACGAGTTGTATGTAATCGAGCGGTTCGTGATACGTTATCATTAATGTATTCATGTGGAATGTATGATTATTCTGGACAATTTGCTTTTAAGGTATCTTTTATGGTTTTCAAAAAAACAAAAATTAAAAAAAAAATTAAGATTGAAATCTATTCAAAAATTAAGATTGAAATGTTTTATTTAATTATTTAATTTTATTATTATATGAAAGCCTTTTTTTCTGTTTTTCTTTTTTTTTTCAGGTTGGTTTACCGGCAAAAAGTGGTGTATCCGGTGATATGATTATTGTTGTACCAAATGTTATGGGTATTTGTTTATTTTCACCACCGCTTGATCAACTTGGTAATACAGTTCGAGGTGTAAAATTTGCGGAACAATTTGTGGAAAAATTCAATTTTCATAATTATGATAGTCTTGTATGTTTAGATTGGATATTTATTTGTAAATTTTGCTATAAAATTTGATAATTTTTCAAAAAAAAAAAAAAAAAAAAAATATGTTTATTATTTATTATATTAATAAATTATATGTTTATTAAGATATGTTTATTATTAATAATTTATTAATAAATTAGATATGTTTATTAATAAATTATAAATTTTTTTCATCACACTAAAATTAAATTTTTAAGCTTATAGATTAAAATAAATTTATGTGAATAAATGTTTTTTCTTTTCTTTTTTTTTTTTTTTACAATTTTATTTTAAGGTCTACTCTGAAACGCATAAGATTGATCCTCGAAAAAAGATTCGAGAAGTGAAACATGAATCTGTATCAAATATGATGTATGCTGCAACTACTGGTGATATTTCATCTATTCAAAGGTGAAATTTAATATGTTTTACTTATTTTCAGATTCAGATTAAGTCAGTTTTTTCATTAGCAGTGATGTGACATGAATTTAATCATGATAATTTGATTAAACTTTAATTGGAAATTAAATTAAATGGATTGGATTTTTCTTTTTTTTTGCAAGTTTAATATATGATCATTATTAGAGTTTAATTTAAATTTAAAAAGAAATTTTAAAAAATTTTCAACGTATAAAGTATGAAAAAAAAAAACTGAAATTGTTAAAGTTGATCATGATTAGAGTTTAATTTAAATTTGAAGAAATTTTAAAAAGATTTGTTGTAAAAAAATTTTCAACATATAAAATCTGAAAAAGCAAAAAGAAAAGACAACTAAATGAAATAATAATTTAGTAGAGTTTAATTTAAATTTTCAACATATAAAGTCTGAAAAAAAAAAAAAAACCAAAATTTTTGAAGAATTTGAAAATATGAAAAAAAAGAAAAAACCCATTAAATGAAATAATAATTTAAAAAAAAAAAAGAATTTGAAAATATGAAAAAAAATTAAATGAAATAATAATTTAAAAAAAAAAAAGACCAAAATTCTTGAAGAATTTGAAAATATGAAAAAGAAAAAACCAATTAAATGAAATAATAATTTAAAAAAAAAACAAGACCAAAATTCTTGAAGAATTTAAAAATATGAAAAAAAAAACCAATTAAATGAAATAATGATTTAGTAAAGTTTATTTAAATTTTCAACATATAAAGTCTGAAAAAAAAAAAACCAAAATTCTTGAAGAATTTAAAATATGAAAAAAAACAATTAAATGAAATAAAAAAAAAAAACAATTAAATGAAATAATAATTTAAAAATTGAAAAAAAAAAAAAAAAAAAAATAGAAATTGAGAGTGAATGATTTAAGCAATTTTGCTAATGCTAATATTTTTTAAAATTATACAAAAATAATAAAAATATGATTAGAGTTGTAAATTATTCTATTTAAAAATAATTTTCAGATATCTTTTATTGGGTGCAAGTATCGCTGAAAGAGATTATGATGATCGTACTGTTTTACATGTTGCTGCAGCACATGGTAATGAGAATGTTCTCAAATTTTTATTGCAACGATGGCAAGAAAGTCCAGGTAAACAAAATTACTAAGAAATTCAAATACTAAATAATATAATCATAGTAAATTGATAACGATTATCATTTTTTTATCAGCATTATCTATTTTAGATATTATATTGAAACAGTAGGTAATTCATAGTACTATAAAAATTATTAGGGTTAGAAAAAAAAAAGTCGAGAATTTAAAAAAAAAAAGAAAAAAAAAAAAGTATTAATAATAGTTGTTTATATTAGTTTTAGATCATATTTCAAATTTGTCTCTTTTTTTTTTATGAAAATTTTTTTTATGAAAAATTAAAATAGTTTAGATCCATTGGATCGTTATGGACGAAAACCATTGGATGATGCTAGAGAATTTGGTCATAGTAATTGTGTGGAAATTTTAGAAAGAGCTTTACAAAAGTATATAGCAAAAATACAAGAGAAAAATAGTCCTTTTACAAGTTAATTGTAAACAATTTGAAATAACAAAAAAGTTATTTTTGTTTTTTTTTTTTTTTTTTTTATGTAGAAATTTAATTTTTATGTCTTTTTTCTTTTTTTTTTTATTTTGCATTGAAATTTAAATTTTATATTTCTTTTATCTATCATATTTATACAAATTTAATTTTTATGTCTTTTTTCTTTTTTTTTTTATTTTGCATTGAAATTTAAATTTTATATTTCTTTTATCTATCATATTTATACTCCATTCCTGAATTTTAAAAATTCGTTTTGTTTGTCAAAAAAAAAAAAAAACACGAGAATTTTGTATTATTATTCACTCAGAGTGATCTCTAGAGATCATTAAATAGTCGAGAAATTTTTCTTTTTTTTTTTTATGTAGAAATTTAATTTTTATGTCTTTTTTCTTTTTTTTATTTTGCATTGAAATTTAAATTTTATATTTCTTTTATCTATCATATTTATACTCCATTCCTGAATTTTAAAAATTCGTTTTGTTTGTCAAAAAGAAAAAAAAAAACATTAGAATTTTGTATTATTTACTCAAAGTGATCTCTAGAGATCATTAAATATTCGAGAAATTTTTCTTTTTTTTTTTTTGATTTATTTATTTATGTTTTAGTCTTTCCTTTTTTCATATCTCTCATTTTTCACTTCTCATAGTTACAAATTATGAGATTAGTGTTAATGTCTATTAGAGGATGAAAAAATTAGGAAAGAAGTGATATGATTATTGATTATTGATTACAGTGTATAAATTATTTCTTTCCAATAAACATTTGCTTAATAAACAACAACAACAACAACAACAACAACAGGCTAAGAGAAAATAATAGTAAAAAAAAGCACTTCGATCATTTTAATGAATTTTTTGTTTTTTTAAATTACTTTTAAAATGATATTTTTAATAACTTTTTTTGATTACACCATATAACAACTTTAAAGCATTAAAATTGATAGTAAAAAAAAAGAATGATGATAAAATTGATAAAATTGAATAAGCATTTTGAAACATAAACATGAAGAGATTGCATTAATCATCAAGAATCATTAAATTATTAACCTAGCAATTTTATATATTTTGATCACAAATCTTACTAAGAGCAATTATTCAATTTAAAAATTTAAATAGCTTTACTACACAATTAATTAAATATTTCATATTTCAAACATGAAAAAGTAAAGCAGAAATGAGAATTTAGAAATAAAAAACATTTTGTTCTCAGTTAAAAAAATTGATATGTATGAAGAGTGATAAAAAAAACAAATTTAAAAAAAAAAAAAAAATTTAAATTATATACAAGAATAAAAGTTAAATGTTAATATTAACAACTATACAACATATAATCATTAATCATTAAAAGTTTTAAATAATTCTAATTTTGCTTTATAAAAATTTTTTTTTTTCATATACTAACATTTTTCATTAATTAAATACTTTTTTTTTTTTTTTACTAATAAAAATGAAAATTTCAGAATTAATATCGTGAATTTCTATCAATATCATCTTCTTCAGAATATGAATTAATAATATATTTGTAAATTGATTTTTCTCCAACAATTTCAATACGATTTTCACTTTCATTAATTGCTGCAATTTCACGTGCTTTATCCTAAAAAAAAAGAAAAATACTGAAATTACAAATCAAATAATTAAAAAAAAAAAAAAAAAAACATTTAGATGTAAATAATAAAATAGTTTATTCTCAATATTAGTACCAAAATAATTTCTCAAAAAAAAAAAAAAAAAATTTACTCTTCAATTTTTATGAATAACATTAGAATTAACTATTACTGATATTATGAGGACAATATGACAGTGTTTCTTTTTTTTAAAAAAAAATATTTTAAAAAATACATACTATTTTATGTATAATTATACTTGCAGGAATCCATATAATCAAAACAATAGCTGCAATGATACCAACCAAATTGTCACCAACAAATTTCCCTTAAAAAAAAAAACAAAAAATTATTTACTGCTTAAGTTTAATCATTCTCGAATATCATTTCTCGAGAAAAAAAAAGAAAAATTATTTACTGCTTAAGTTTAATCATTCTCGAATATCATTTCTCGAAAAAAAAAAGAAAAATTGTTTACTGTTTAAGTCTAATCATTCTCGAATATTATTTCTCGAGTATTCTAATAAAAAAAAAGGAAGTAAATTTTGAATATTACAAAATTTAACTATAATTTGAAATTAGCAATTTCAAAAATATAATGTCATTTGCATTTCATCAAAAAGCATAGATATGTATCTCTTTTTCTCGAATATCATTTCTCGAATATTCTAATAAAAAAAAAAAGGAAGTAAATTTTGAATATTACTATAATTTGAAAAAATTTAGCTATAATTTGAAATTAGCAATTTCAAAAATACAATATCATTTGTATTTCATCAAAAAGCATAGATATGTATCTCTTTTTCTCGAATATCATTTCTCGAATATTCTAATAAAAAAAAAAAGGAAGTAAATTTTGAATATTACTATAATTTGAAATTAGCAATTTCAAAAATACAATATCATTTGCATTTCATCAAAAAGCATAGATATGTATCTCTTTTTCTCGAATATCATTTCTCGAATATTCTAATAAAAAAAAAGGGAAGTAAATTTTGAATATTACTATAATTTGAAAAAATTTAGCTATAATTTGAAATTAGCAATTTCAAAAATACAATATCATTTGTATTTCATCAAAAAGCATAGATATGTATCTCTTTTTCTCGAATATCATTTCTCGAATATTCTAATAAAAAAAAGGGAAGTAAATTTTGAATATTACTATAATTTGAAAAAATTTAGCTATAATTTGAAATTAGCAATTTCAAAAATACAATATCATTTGCATTTCATCAAAAAGCATAGATATGTATCTCTTTTTCTCGAATATCATTTCTCGAATATTCTAATAAAAAAAAAAAGGAAGTAAATTTTGAATATTACTATAATTTGAAATTAGCAATTTCAAAAATACAATATCATTTGCATTTCATCAAAAAGCATAGATATGTATCTCTTTTTCTCGAATATCATTTCTCGAATATTCTAATAAAAAAAAAGGGAAGTAAATTTTGAATATTACTATAATTTGAAAAAATTTAGCTATAATTTGAAATTAGCAATTTCAAAAATACAATATCATTTGTATTTCATCAAAAAGCATAGATATGTATCTTTTTTCTCGAATATCATTTCTCGAATATTCTAATAAAAAAAAAGGGAAGTAAATTTTGAATATTACTATAATTTGAAAAAATTTAGCTATAATTTGAAATTAGCAATTTCAAAAATACAATATCATTTGCATTTCATCAAAAAGCATAGATATGTATCTCTTTTTCTCGAATATCATTTCTCGAATATTCTAATAAAAAAAAAAAGTAAATTTTGAATATTACTATAATTTGAAAAATTTAGCTATAATTTGAAATTAGCAATTTCAAAAATACAATATCATTTGTATTTCATCAAAAAGCATAGATATGTATCTCTTTTTCTCGAATATCATTTCTCGAATATTCTAATAAAAAAAAAGGGAAGTAAATTTTGAATATTACTATAATTTGAAAAAATTTAGCTATAATTTGAAATTAGCAATTTCAAAAATACAATATCATTTGCATTTCATCAAAAAGCATAGATATGTATCTCTTTTTCTCGAATATCATTTCTCGAATATTCTAATAAAAAAAAAAAGGAAGTAAATTTTGAATATTACTATAATTTGAAATTAGCAATTTCAAAATACAATATCATTTGCATTTCATCAAAAAGCATAGATATGTATCTCTTTTTCTCGAATATCATTTCTCGAATATTCTAATAAAAAAAAAGGGAAGTAAATTTTGAATATTACTATAATTTGAAAAAATTTAGCTATAATTTGAAATTAGCAATTTCAAAAATACAATATCATTTGTATTTCATCAAAAAGCATAGATATGTATCTCTTTTCTCGAATATCATTTCTCGAATATTCTAATAAAAAAAAAGGGAAGTAAATTTTGAATATTACTATAATTTGAAAAAATTTAGCTATAATTTGAAATTAGCAATTTCAAAAATACAATATCATTTGCATTTCATCAAAAAGCATAGATATGTATCTCTTTTTCTCGAATATCATTTCTCGAATATTCTAATAAAAAAAAAGGGAAGTAAATTTTGAATATTACTATAATTTGAAAAAATTTAGCTATAATTTGAAATTAGCAATTTCAAAAATACAATATCATTTGCATTTCATCAAAAAGCATAGATATGTATCTCTTTTTCTCGAATATCATTTCTCGAATATTCTAATAAAAAAAAAGGGAAGTAAATTTTAAATACTACTATAATTTGAAAAATTTAACTATAATTTGAAATTAGCAATTTCAAAAATACAATATCATTTGTATTTCATCAAAAAGCATAGATATGTATCTCTTTTTCTCGAATATCATTTCTCGAATATTCTAATAGAAAAAAAAAAGGAAGTAAATTTTGAATATTACTATAATTTGAAAAAATTTAGCTATAATTTGAAATTAGCAATTTCAAAAATATAATGTCATTTGCATTTCATCAAAAAGCATAGATATGTATCTCTTTTTCTCGAATATCATTTCTCGAATATTCTAATAAAAAAAAAAGGAAGTAAATTTTGAATATTACTATAATTTGAAAAAATTTAGCTATAATTTGAAATTAGCAATTTCAAAAATATAATGTCATTTGTATTTCATCAAAAAGCATAGATATGTATCTCTTTTTCTCGAATATCATTTCTCGAATATTCTAATAAAAAAAAAAAGGAAGTAAATTTTGAATATTACTATAATTTGAAAAAATTTAGCTATAATTTGAAATTAGCAATTTCAAAAATACAATATCATTTGTATTTCATCAAAAAGCATAGATATGTATCTCTTTTTCTCGAATATCATTTCTCGAATATTCTAATAAAAAAAAGGAAGTAAATTTTGAATATTACTATAATTTGAAAAAATTTAACTATAATTTGAAATTAGCAATTTCAAAAATACAAATCATTTGTATTTCATCAAAAAGCATTTCTATTTAACAACATTAGAAATAAATAAATAAATAAATAATTTTTACTTACAAAAATTCTTTTCATCAATATTTTCAATGATAGACCAAAAATGAGAAATAACATCAGCAACTTCTTTAATACAAATAGCCTATAATATAGAAAAAAAAAAAGGTCACATTATACATATTTTATAAAATAAAGATAGAACTAAAATTTTTTTTTTTTTTTTTGACTATTTGAAAATAAAAAAAAAAAAATTTCAAAAATTGAGAGCAAACAAACAACAATATTTCTAAACTTAATCAAAAAAAAAAAAAGAAATTCTGATCATTACATATCTTATTTTTTTATTTTTATGAACAATTGAAAAAATTTTAAATATAATTTTTTTTTTCATTACCTATAAATTTTACTATAAAAGATTTTAAGAAACTATCATCTGCTTTCAATAAATTTTAAAATAGAATTAAAAAAAAAAGAAATTCTGGTCATTACATATTTTTTGTCCAATATTTTTGTGAAAAATTGAGCAAATTTTAAATATATCTTAAAAAAAAACTAAATTTATTACATATCTACAAATTTTTTTTACTATAAAAGATTTTTGTTTTAAATTTTAAAAAAAAAAAAGTAAAACTAAATTTATTACATACCTATAAATTTTACTATAAAAAATTTTTGTGTTTTAAATTTTTAAAATAAATTTTAAAATAGAAAAATAAAATAAAAAAAAAAAAAAACTAACACGTAAGCATGTACCATGAATACAACGAGTACCATCTTTTAAAATATATTTAGGATCATAACTATATGGTTCACATGTACCATTTTCAGAACGACAACAACGTAAGCATGCAACTGCTTCTGTAATTTTTTTTTTTTTTTTTTGATAAAATTTATAAATTAATAAAATTTATAAAATTATAATTTTTTTTTAAAAGCATTTATGAATTAATAAAATTCATGAAATTAACATTATTCATGCTAATTTTGATTCTCTATGCTTTTATAATTATAATTATAATTATAATTGTAATTGTAATTCGAATTGAAAAACTTCTCATAGTTTAACTGACAAATGTAAATTTAAATTAAATTGAAAATTGATACACATATCAAATATTTAACGAATACTACAAAGAAAATAATTGTTATCATTTTAATCAGTGATAATATATGAAAATTAAGAAACTATATATAAACAATTAATGATTTAATGATTAAGTATTAAATATTTATTAAAATAATCAGAGACTGATACACATATTAAACATTTAACAAATACTACAAAAAAAAGAGATGTTGAAAATAATTGAAATCACTTTAATCAGTAATAAACTTTATATAAAAATTAGTCAGTAATCATATATGAAAATTAAAAACTACATATAAAAAATTAAAGAATTAATAATCTAGTATTAAATATTTATTAATATAATCAAAAAAAGTTACCTCTACTACACATACACGGTTTTTTGTTGACAGATGGCTTTTCACAAAATGTAAGACAATGACCATTCAAACATTCACCATCTTCAATGCATGGTGTACCATCTTGTACAAAACCAGGTTCTGGACATTCACCTGAATTGCCCCTGGAAAAAAACAAAAACAAAAATAGTAAACAACTAACGTGCAATATGAAAAAAAAAAAAAAAAAAAAAAATAATAAACAACGTGCAATATGAAAAAACAAAGACAAAAATAATAAACAACTAACGTGCAATATAAAAAAACAAAAACAAAAATAATAAACAACTAACGTGCAATATGAAAAAAACCAAAACAAAAATAATAAACAACTAACGTGCAATATGAAAAAACAAAAACAATAATAGTAAACAACTAACGTGCAATATGAAAAAACAAAAACAATAATAGTAAACAACTAACGTGCAATATAAAAAACAAAAACAAAAATAGTAAACAACTAACGTGCAATATGAAAAAACAAAAACAATAATAGTAAACAACTAACGTGCAATATGAAAAAACAAAAACAAAAATAATAAACAACTAACGTGCAATATGAAAAAAAACAAAAATAATAAATAACTAACGTGCAATATGAAAAAACAAAAAAAAAAAACAAAAGTAGTAAACAACTAACGTGCAATATGGAAAAAGAAAAACAAAAATAGTAAACAACTAACGTGCAATATGAAAAAAACAAAAACGAAAATAATAAGCAACTAACGTGCAATATGGAAAAACAAAAACAAAAATAATAAACAACTAACGTGCAATATGAAAAAACAAAAACAAAAATAATAAACAACTAACGTGCAATATGAAAAAACAAAAAAAATAATAAACAACTAACGTGCAATATGAAAAAACAAACAAAAAAAAACAAAAACAGTAAACAACTAACGTGCAATATGAAGAAAGTTTGCATTGAAATCGATTTTCATGAAGACAAAGATGAGTTGATGGAAGAAATTGACAATTACTTGAACAACATGGACTATTTTTTGGTGAACAAATTGCATTCGGTTTAAAACGACAATCTGATGTACAACATCTAAAAAAAAAACAAAATCATTCATTTATTTTACTGATATCATATCACATTTATTTTACTGATAACATATCATATCATATCAAGTGCAATAAAGAAAAAATGAAATCTTTAAAATTAATAATATATTCAAAAAAAAAAAAAAAAACACTTGTCTTTTAATATTAAATAAAAACAAAAGCCGAATTGTTTTTCTTTTTTTTTTTTTTAAAAAAAAAAACTAACTTTTTTCTTTTGTATCAAATTTAATTGAAATATACACTGGAATTACCTCTTTTTTTTTAGCTATTTATATTTTATAATGGTAAGAAAAAATTTTTAAACTAAATGAAAATTAAATGTTTAAATATTACTTACTGATCAGTAATTCCGGATAGTAAACTACCAACATCACATTCTTCTGCAAAACCATTTGTATCATTTTCAACTTTACCATTACCACAAAATGCATTCATTTCAGGTTCAAAACATATATTTGCTTTTCGTGATAAAACTTTTCCAATTAGACGTCGCGAACATGGCGAAAAACGCTGATAAATAAATAAATAAATCATTTATTTATTTTTTTTTTTTAAAAAAAAAATCAATTATAATTTATACGAAAAAAAATTTTTTTCTAATTATTAATTTCTCAAATATATGCAAAAAAAAAAAAAAATAAAATATGAAAAATTCAGGTTTCAAATAAAATTTTTATTTTAAAACAAAAATAAAACTACAAATGATGATGAAAAGAAATATGATAAAATTACTAATTTAAAGCAATTTTAATTCTTTCAAATTTTATCACTAAATTTTCAATTTCAAATTATCGTATCACTTATTATCAATTTACTTCATTTATTTTTTTCTCTTTTCTTTCATTTTTAAAATATCTAATTAACTTACATTATTATTCTCATCATAACCGGAAACGGAAAAAGTATTCATAATATAGGAACCACCTAAACTGTACGGTGGTGAACATTCCACTGATAAATCATCATGTGTTGCACCCCAGTTATGACCTAATTCTGAAAATCATCAAAACTTTGAAATAAATAACAAATTCAAATTTGTTAAATAAATTATATACAAATTAATAAATTAAATGAATTAAATGTAATTAAATTAAATCAAATTAAATGAATAAAACAATAAATTAAATACAATTTCAAATTTGAACTTAATAAATAAGTTTCAAATTTGTTAAATAAATCAAATAAATTAAATACAATTTCAATAAAATTAAATAAATTAAATATTAAATTAAAAAAATTAAAATAAATAAATAAAACAATAAATTAAACACAATTTCAAATTTGAATTTCAACTTTTTTTTTTATATTTCTTCAATACAACAATCCTAATAGAATAATTAACAAAAAAAGAAAATTCAAATCATTCAATTAACAATTTTACTACTTATCATATATTTATCATATTTTATATCTATTTTAATTTAACAATTTTACTACTAAAATTCAAATCATTCAAAATTAACAAAATATATTTATCATATTTTATATCTATTTTAATTAAATTGCATATTTATTTATGTATTTATTTACATATTCATTTGATATATTTTTATTATAGTTACATCTATTTTAAATTAATTTTGTATCTAATTTAATCAAATTTTATATTTATTTTAAATTAAATTGCACCATTATTTTAAATTAAATTATATTATTTTTTAAATTATTAATTTTTTTTTTTTTTAAAATTAAATTGCACCATATTTTAAATTAAATTGCACCAAAACTATAATTCATCATACTAACACAAATTTCGGCTTTTCTTTTTTTGCAAAATTAATTAAATATCAAAAAAAAAAAAAAATAATAAAATAAATAAAAGTTTGATTACCGTGAGCTGTTACAATATCTGCTTCACGTGATACCACGGTGACACCATGGGTAGCTTTTGTGCTTGAGAGAGCAGTATTGTAATAAACAACACCTAATCCATCTCTATTCTAAATTTCTTATTTATTATAATTTAATAAAAATTAAGTATTCAAGTAAAAAAAAAAGAAACACAAAATGAATTTAGTAAAGATTATATGGTATGCAACAAATGAAATTAAATTAATTTTTTGTAATTGAAATTAAAATTTCAAAATTTTAAATTAAAATTTACTTCTAAATAAAAAAATTTACCTGTATTGAGCATATTCCACCAGCTGCATCAAGTTCAGGTGATGAGATATATGCTAAGCCAAGGACACCATTCTCGAATGATTGTGCTGTAAACAAATGAACAAGGCAATATTTATCGGATCCTTGATTTCGTGAAAAATTCTAAAAAATATTTTATATATTTAAAAAAAAAAAATTATATATAAAAAAAATCATATGAAATGATTAAACTAAACAAAAAAAAAATGAAAAATTTAACTAAAAGTTAATTATTATTTGAGAAATTAATTATATATTAATTAAATTAATTATATAATTATATATTGAAAATCTCTCTGCAATTATTAAAGTATCTTTTTTTTTAATTTTTTATATAAAAAAAGTTTATTTTAGTATATAAAATTGTATCTGTAATTATAGAACAAGAAAAAAAAACAAAGAAAGAAAAAAGTTCAATAATTAATTATTCATTTTAATGAAATAATTGATAATAATTTTTTGTTTCTTCTTTTTGTTTCTTTTTTTTTCATTTGAGTAATTTTAAATAATTTGATTATTATTAAGAAAGCCAACATAGAGATATTATTTGATAGTAAATAACAGAAGTAAGTAAAATAATAAGTAGAATAAAATAATAATAAAACTATAAAATAAGTTAAAGTAAAATAATAAATCAAATAATAATAAAACTATAAAATAAGTTAAAGTAAAATAATAAATAAAATAATAAGTCAAGTAATAATAAAACTATAAAATAAGTTAAAGTAAAATAATAAGTCAAATAATAATAATAAAACTATAAAATAAGTTAAAGTAAAATAATAAGTCAAATAATAATAAAACTATAAAACAAGTTAAAGTAAAATAATAAATAAAATAATAATAATAAAACTATAAAATAAGTTAAAGTAAAATAATAAGCCAAATAATAAAACTATAAAATAATAATTAAATAAAACTAACATCAAGAATAGCTTTAACATTTCGTTTATCATTAATATTTGAATTATAATGATTTGGTTGATTAACAGTAGGTGATGTATGAATTATCATTTCTTTTATCATAAAACCCATATTAATCAATCGTCTGCCATCTTCATCAATACCCCAATCAGTTACTGTATATAATGTGTTAATACGATCGATCACATTTATCTATAAAATTTATATATTTACAATATTAATTTAATTTAATAACATTTTCATTTCAATTATTCAAAAAAATGAAAAAAGAGAAAAATTTTCAATAATAAAAAATAATAAAATATTTTTATTACATAAATAATTAGAATAACAGAAAAGAATTAATAATTAGAATAATAGTTTAATATCATTTAATACTATTTTCTTTTCAATTATTCAAAAAATGAAAAAAGAGAAAAATTTCAATAATAAAAAATAATAAAATATTTTTATTACATAAATAATTAAATAGACTTCTGATTACCAAAATTTTATACAAGAATTAATAATTACAATAATTAATAATTAGAATAACAGAAAAGAATTAATAATTAGAATAATAGTTTAATATCATTTAATATTATTTTCTTTTCAATTATTCAAAAAATGAAAAAAGAGAAAAAATTTCAATAATAAAAAATAATAAAATATTTTTATTACATAAATAATTAATTAGTAAAAAGAATTAATAATTAGAATAATAGTTTAATATCATTTAATAACATTTTCATTTCAATTATTCAAAAAATGAAAAAAGAGAAAAAATTTCAATAATAAAAAATAATAAAATATTTTTATTACATAAATAATTAAATAATAAAAATAATTAATAATTAGAATAATAGTTTAATATCATTTAATAACATTTTCTTTTCAATTATTCAAAAAATGAAAAAAGAGAAAAATTTCAATAATAAAAAATAAATCAAAAACATTCTTTCCTTTTCTTTCGTTTACTATTTTAAAAAATTTTTATTACATAAATAATTAATTAGTAAAAGGAATTAATAATAATAAATGAAGAAAAAGAAAAAAGAATATGCAAAAGTAAACATTTATAATTAAAATAAATTAAATTAAAAAGAATTAAAATGAATTTATAATTAAAATAAATTAAATTAAAATAATTAAAATAATTTTATAATCAAAAAAAATCAAATTAAAATAATTAAAATAAATAATTTCAAAAATTAACCAAATATCTAGCAGAGAAAGCTTGACTACCATTTCCAATTGTTCGAAAAAATCGATAATCCGCAACAACACGTAAAGAACATCTAAAATTTTGAATTTAAATTTAAAATTAACAAATAATCATTTTCATATTTAAATAAATTATAATCATAAAATATTTTATACTTTCAAAAAAGTAAAAAAAAAAATTTTGAATTTAAATTTAAAATTAACAAATAATCATTTTCATATTTAAATAAATTATAATCATAAAATATTTTATACTTTCAAAAAAGTAAAAAGAAAATTTTGAATTTAAATTTAAAATTAACAAATAATCATTTTCATATTTAAATAAATTATAATCATAAAATATTTTATACTTTTAAAAAAGTAAAAAAAAAAAATTTTGAATTTAAATTTAAAATTAACAAATAATCATTTTCATATTTAAATAAATTATAATCACAAAATATTTTATACTTTCAAAAAAGTAAAAAAAAAAAAGTTATCAAACTAACCGATTTTTAGTTGTTGGTAATGCTGATAAACGTTTAAATCGCATTGATTGCGAAAATGTGATATTATTTGAATTGCCAATTAAAATTGATGAACAAAATGATCTATTATTCAGTTCAAAATTTAATTTTAAATCTGAATTTCGATAAGCTAAAATCTGCCATGGATGAGCTGTTTCCTAAAAAAAAATACAGAATATGATAATATTAATGTATTCTTAAAAAAAAAAAAAAAAAAAAACTTTAAAATTTTAATATTTAAATTAAACAATCATGTTGTTAAATTCTAAAAATAGAAATTTTTTTTTTAAAATTTTTTTCGCTAAAATTTAACTTTTTAATAATGCTTTTTCCACCAAAAAAAAATATACTAATTGATTTAATTTAATAATTTATTAAATTTTTTTTTAAAATTTCTACACTATTTCCTAAACAGATGTTATAAATAAATTAAAATAATTGATATTAAATAAAAATTCATTTTGATCACAATGCAAAAATAAATTCTTTAAATGATAAAAATTAATTTCAAAAAAAAAAAAAAAGGAAAAAATTACAAAATGAATTTTTGCTGGTTCAAAAATGTAAATTTCACCATCACTTTGTACGGTACCCAATAATGAGCCTTCATCACTGTAACTAATTGCTACAATCGAATTAGCAACACCTTCAGAATACCGGAAATAAAATTCCGGAAATAACTGTTAGATTATTTAACAAATTGAAAAACAAAGAAAAAATAAAATTCCATAATTGAAATACAAATTAAAATGCTAATTAATAGAGTAAGTTAATTTTTACATTTATAGCTAATACCGGAAATAAAATTCCGGAAATAACTGTTAGATTAATTAACAAAATTGAAAAAAAAGAAAAAAAAAAATTCCATAATTGAAATATAAATTGAAATGCTAATTAATAGAGTAAGTTAATTTTACATTTATAGCTAATACCGGAAATAAAATTCCGGAAATAACTGTTAGATTAATTAACAAAATTGAAAAAAAAGGAAAAATAAAATTCCATAATTGAAATATAAATTAAAATGCTAATTAATAGAGTAAGTTAATTTTTACATTTATAGCTAATACCGGAAATAAAATTCCGGAAATAACTGTTAGATTGATTAACAAAATTGAAAAAAAGAAAAAATAAAATTTCATGATTGAACTATAAATTGAAATGCTAATTAATAGAGTAAGTTAATTTTTACATTTATAGCTAATACCGGAAATAAAATTCCGGAAATAACTGTTAGATTAATTAACAAATTGAAAAAAAAGAAAAAATAAAATTCCATAATTGAAATATAAATTAAAATGCTAATTTCAAATATAAAAAGTTAATTTTTACATTTATAGCTAATATTTAGAAATAAAAACTAATTTTAATTAAACATTTAAAATCCAATCTCAAATTTAATTAAAATTAAAACAAAAAAAAAAACAATGAAAATTTTCATAAAGTATAAATTTCAAATTTAATTTACATTTAAAATAATAAAATCCAAAAAAAAATTTACCATGTAAATGTCCACCAAAATATTCATCCGGATTAACCGTACATAACTTTTCATAACCGTAACCATCTATTTCACGACATTTGAAATTTGTATGAAGAATGCCTTTCTTTGGTGTAAGATAGATATCAAAAAAACGATTAAAAGCTCTACAAAAATAATTCTTAAATTCAATTAAAAAAAATTTAAAAAAAAAAAACAAATTATTAATTTAATTTATAAAAAAAAAAAATTACAAAAATAATTCGTATATTTTATGCAAAATAAAAAAAAAAAAATTAAATTTAACTTATAAATAAAATAAAATTTATAATATTACTTAAAAGTAAAATTGTTAAAGTCTTAATTTTACAAAAGTGTTACGATATGATAAGCAATGATAAATTTGATAAATTCAAATTTAGCAAAAAATATTAAAAAGTAAAACAAACAAACAAACAAAAAAAAATTAAATCTAAATGTTAATCGTTTATTTTATGTAAAAAAAAGAAAATTGAATTTAACTTATAAAAAAAATAAAATTTATGATAATACTTAAAAGTAAAATTGTTAAAGTCTTAATTTTACAAAAGTGTTACGATATGATAATGATAAATTTGATAAATTCAAATTTAGCAAAATTTTTTAAAAAGTAAAATAAACAAACAAAAACAAAAAAAAAAAATAAAACCTAAATGTTAATCGTTGTTGTTTGTTGTATGAAATATTATTGTCCACAATGCCTCGTTTTTCAATTCGTCGATTTATTTCAATAATTTCATAATATTTTAATCGTTCATTTAAATTCATTTTCTTATTACCTTGAAAATTTTCATTTTCATTTCATTATTTACTGATAAACAAACAAACAAACACTGATAACAAATGACTTAACATTAATCAGTTTATCATTTTGATATCTGATTTAATTTTAATAATTAATTTGCCTACTTAAACTTTACATTTCTATAATATTTTTTTATTTACAAATTTTATAAATTTTAATTTTAAAAAAAAAAATTAAATTACCGTTAATAGTAAATGCATCATTAATTAGTAAACAAGTGCCTACTTACATTTTACATTTCTATAATATTTTTTTATTTACAAATTTTATAAATTTTAATTTAAAAAAAAAAATGAAATGATTAAAATTACCGTTAATAGTAAATACATCATTAATTAGTAAACAAGTGCCTACTTACACTTTACATTTCTATAATATTTTTTATTTACAAATTTTATAAATTTTAATTTAAAAAAAAAATTAAATTACCGTTAATAGTAAATGCATTATTAATTAGTAAACAAGTATAAAATTGAAAATGAAATGACACAATGATGATAATTTGTCGCCAAAAAAACAACATTTATAAAAAAATATGGCGCATATGTCATGCAGATATTTATCTGTTTCAGCCTGAAAATTAAAATTATCGCCGCCATTAGTTTAATCATAAATAAACATTTCAAAAAATGTGCAAAATAATTTATGTAAATAAACATTTTTAATTAAAATTCCTTCAATTTATTTGAATTTAATTTAATTTCTAGGATTTGTTTTTTAGATGGAAATTTGAATAAGTAAAATACTTTATTGAATTGCTAAAGTATTCCTTCAATTTACTTAAATTTAATTTAATTTCTAGGATTTTTTTTTTAGGTGAAAATTTGAATAAGTAAAATACTTTATTGAAATGCTAAAGTTAAATTCGTTTCTTTTAATTTTGTATTATTTCCTTGAAATTTTCATTTTTTTTTCACATTTAAAGATTTATGAATAATAAATATATCACTCATTCTTCTATAAGTCAATAACTATTATTCTCGGGTAAACAAAACTTTTAGGTATATTTTACCCAACAATATACCTTTAAAATGAACAAAACTATATTTTACCCAATAATATACCTTTAAAATGAACAAAACTATATTTTACCCAATAATATACCTTTAAAATGAACAAAACTATATTTTACCCAATAATATACCTTTAAAATGAACAAAACTATATTTTACCCAATAATATACCTTTAAAATGAACAAAACTATATTTTACCCAATAATATACCTTTAAAATGAACAAAACTATATTTTACCCAATAATATACCTTTAAAATGAACAAAACTATATTTTACCCAATAATATACCTTTAAAATGACACACTGATGACATACACACACACACACAAACACACATACACGGACAGACACAAACAAACACAGACATACACAAACAGACACGCACATACACAGATAGACGTGGACATACACAGACATACACAAACAGACATGCACATACGCAGATAGACGTAGACATACACAAACAGACAAGCACATACACAGATAGACGTAGACATACACAGACATACACGCACATACACAGACAGACATATACATAATGTGCAGCACATATACAAATGTATATACACACATATATAGATACATAAGTACAAGTACACACACACAGACACATACATGTGTAGATACACACACACACACACACACACACACACACACATACACACACAAACAGACAAATGTATACACATGGACATACATACGTAGATTCACGTGCACGCAAGCATACATATATACATATGCACATACATAGAAATGTGTGCACATACATGTATACATGTACACGTGCACAAGTACACATACACACACACACACACACACACACATACAAATGTATACACAAACAGATACCTATATAGACATACAACCACCTACACAGACATATGCCTGTGACAGACAGCCACCGAGACAGTCGTACGGAGAGGTATGCGGAAGAAATTTCGAAAATTTTGAAGACTTTGCAGTGAGTTTCGTAATCAAACAATCAGAAAAGTATGGTTTGCATGAAGAGACAAATGACTGTAAGAGGAGATGACTCATCGATGAATCATCAACGAGTAATATCTGTCTGTTATGATCGATGCAGAGGAATGGGAAAAGAAAGTGAAACAGAAATGTGAAAATAGACTGTGTGAAGTTTATTTAAGTAAAAATAAAGTATTCGATTAATTGGAAAATATTTGTGAATAATTGAAATATTATCATTGATAAGTATGTTAATAAATTAATTAGTGATAATTTCAATCGTTTAAAGTAATCTTTTTACTGATAATTTTAATCATTTAAAGTAATCTTTTTACTGATAACTTTAATCATTTAATATAATCTTTCCATTTAAATATGAATGATTACAATTCATTACAATGCTAATTAATTATATCAAAAAAAAGCGTACGTGAATATTGTTGACGTAAGTTATCATTGCTAAATATGTTAATAAATTAATTAGTGATAATTTTAATCATTTAATATAATCTTTCCATTTAAATATGCATGATTACAAATCATTGCAATGCTAATTAAATCACACGTAATTATATCAAAAAAAAGCGTACGTGAATATTGTGACGTAAGTTTTTCTATTCTATCTAAATATATTCATTAATTAATTATCTATAAAATCTTTATTATATATATATATATGTATTTACTTCAGATTATTGTTTATTTTAAATTGTTTTTAAAAAAAAATGAATTTTAATTTGTAAAAAATAAATTTTTCAAAAATATAATTTAAATTTTGGTATATTTTAAAATTTTTGATTAATTAATTTCTTTGTAATTTCTCCACATTTTCATTAATATCTACATATATTTACCTCAAATTTGTTGTTAATTTTAAATTGTTTAAAAAAAAAATGAATTTCAATTTTTAAAAAATAAATTTTTCAAAAATATAATTTAAATTTTGGTATATTTTAAAATGTTTGATTAATTTTTAATTTTCATAAAATCATCCAATAATTTATAAATGTGATAAATAATTCAAAAAGAAAGACGGTCTTAGATGGAATTTCTGCCTTTGATCATTGGTCTCTTACTCTTTGGTCATTGTTTATCGCTCATATAAAATCGTGTGTGCATTGTTTTTCCGGTATATCCGTTTTCTATTCAGGTATGTCCGTTTTTTTGCTCCGGTAATTTTCCTTTCAAATTTATTCACTATTGTAATTTTCCGCCTTTTTTTTTGCTCCTCATTTCCGTTCTTGCATTTATTGATTCTAATATTTTGTCGTGTATCTCTGACCATTTGACAATTTGTTAATGTCTTTAATTTCTGCTATTTTTTTTCCTTTTTTTTTTCCGGACAATCATTCATTCATTTATTCTCTTTTTCCTGATTCCATTAATAAAATAATTGTAATAATCATGGAAAAAAATAGAAAAAAAAAACGGATTTGATCAAAATATTGAAATGATAATGTGTGATATTTACTATTTGAAGTTTATTTTGCAGCATTCCTGAATTTTTGCATTTCATTCCGGAGAAATGGCCGATTTAACAATACCAACGGATGTACCACAAATTCCTCAAGTTGATATGATTAGTGCAACAAGTAAATTACAACTAGAAGCAGCTGATGTTCGAAGTAACAAACCTAATTGGAATTCTTACTTAAGGTTGGTATTCAGTATTTTATTATACCTCTTTATTATTGTATTTTCATTATATTGTATTTAATTGGAACTCTTATTTAAAGTTGGTATTTAGTACTTTTTATGTCTGTTTATTATTGTATTTTAGTTATATTATACTTAATTGCAACTTCTACTTAAGGTTGGTAGTCAGGACTTTATTATACTAGTTTATTATTGTATTTTAATTACATTATACTTAATTTGAACTCTTACTTGAGGTTGATATTCAGTATTTTATTATACCTGTTTATTATTGTATTTTAGTTATATTATACCTAGTTGGAGCTCTTATATAAAGTTGGTATTTAGTACTTTTTATGTTTGTTTATTATTGTATTTTCGTTATATTATACTTAATTGGAACTTCTACTTAAGGTTGATAGTCAGGACTTTATTATGCTAGTTTATTATTCTATTTCAATTATACCTATATTTTATTTATATTTCAACTATACACCGTATTTTGTATTATTTTAAAGTGAAATGCTTTCCACAGCTACCGATATGAAGGAGAATATGTTCATAGTGAATATTAAAGTAATATTTTGTTGAAATTATATACTTTTTACATATCCTTTGTAGATATAGAGTAAACCTGTTTTCTCATTTGCTAGGTACCAGAATAAGCTTCAATTATGATGTGTATGAAAAAAAAAAGAAAAGATTTTGTGATATGCTGAGAAATATTCAATAATTGGTAGTAGTTAAAACATACTGAAAAGCTGAAACAAAAAAAAAAAAAATCAACTTGTAAAATCTATGTTTTTTATAGTGTAATGTTTTGTTGACTTTAAATTTTCATTTATTTGACTATTAGTCATTTTTTCTCCTTATTATAATTAAAAGTTGATTACTTATTGCTGTTTCTTTTTAAACATTTGAGGATTAATTTTTATTGCTATCAAAAAATTTCCAAAGTTTAGTCATATTTATTTCAATCTTCTACTATATGTTTTGTTAATATTTACTACTTATTGCTGTTTCTTTTTAAACATTTGAGGATTAATTTTTATTGCTATCAAAAAATTTCCAAAGTTTAGTCATATTTATTTTAGTCTTCTACTATATGTTTTGTTAATATTTACTGTCTTCTTATTGGTGGATTAATTAATGAATGAGAAAGCAACTGTAAAGCAATTTATAAGAAGGAAAAGTAAAGTATGTTCCAAATCAATGTATTAATTGTTGTAAAATAATTTAAATGGATATTATAGGAGTCAAATGATTACACAGGAAGATTACGATTTTATAACTTCATATGAGATGTCAAAAACTAAGCAAAGTCGTGATGAGCTTTTGGAGAGTAACAAGATGCAATGTGCTCAAACAATGATTAATTTTATTACAACTGTTGCTAAAGATTACAATGTTCGTTATATACTAACATTGCTGGATGATATGATTATGGTTAGTGTTCCATTTATGTTTTTTTTTTTTTTTCATTTTATGATTACAAAATATAAATAATTACAAATAAATTTAACAAAAAAAAAAAAAAAATAATAATAATAATAATTACAAATAATGTAATTAAATTTTTACAAATTCAGTGAAAAAAAAAAAAAGAAATTTCATTGTATTCTTCTGAACTATCAAGTAATTCAAATTTATAATACTAGCCATTAGTTTAATCTTTATATTGATCAATTGATATAAATTATTATTTTTACAAAAGTTGAAATGCTATATTGAAAATTTCGAGTTTACTGAAAAAGAAAATCTTAGTTTCTGGGAAAAGAAATAAGAAAATTGTAAAAATTTAATGTAAAACTGGATAGATAACCTTTTCTCTTTAACTCTAACACATTTAGCACTTTTTTTCAATGATATAATTTATTGCAGGAAGATAAATCACGTGTGGAAATATTCCACAGTTATGCCCGAAGAAATAAACGTACCTTGTGGTCATGGTTTTTAGGCATTTTACAACGTCAAGATGCATTTATCGTAAATCAGGTTTGAATTTCGATTCATTCTCGAGCAAAAAAAAGCTTGAAAGTAATTTGATAGAATACATACTTAAGATGCTTTTTTTAAAAGATTAACATTATTAATAGATTTTAATATATTTTGCTTCTATTGATTATCTTATCTGTAATTACTACGATATTGATGTATAAATAAACAAATATTGAAATTTAAAATAATGCTTAACAGTGAATATATGGTTGCTTACATTTATCTGTTAGCATTTGATGACATCTTTGATCAAATTAGTTAAGGATTTATGATTTATATATTTACTTTATTGAAAATCTATGATTTATATAATATTTACTTTGTAAATAGGAAGTTTTATAGTGCAATAGTTGAAGAAAAATAATATTTTTCAGATGTCATCTGTTTTGGCAAAATTTGCATGTTTTGGTATGACACTAATGGAAGGTTCTGATTTGAACTTCTACATTTCATTTCTCAAAGATCAATTAAAAACTCCAAGAAATGAGTATATCAATACAACAGCACGTTGTTTACAGATGATGCTTCGAATTGATGAGTATCGTCATACATTTTTAGCAATGGATGGTATTGCAAGGTTTTTGAATAAATTATTACTTCTTCTTTTTGTATGATTCTTTTGATAAGATATAATTAAAACTACTATTGCTCCTAGAGATAAAAAACTCTACCGTAAATTCTATCATTTATAACAAAGCAATTATGAGTGTACTCAAAAAATTGGAAACACAAAAAAAAAGGCACCAATAAAAATACACATTAATAATAAATTTTAAACATTTATACAATAATTAAACAATAATTTATACAATAATTAAACAATAATAATAAACATTTATTAATATTCAAACATAAATAGCAGTCGAGAATATTTCAAAACCTGACTATTTATTATCAAAAATAAACTAGCTATATCATTGATACCCAGATAATTCGGGGATAAAATACCAACAGGAGATCAAATTCCACCTAACCAGGTCAAAGGACACAAAGAAGAATCTAAAAAAGTTCAAAAAATAGAAAAAAAATAAAGTCAATTCACTAAATAAAAATAAACGAAATCCTTGGCTAAATATTCGGTAGTCATAAAAAGAATATTGACCACTAACATCTTCCAAATATTAGATGAACTAATTTTTTTTTTAATAATATTTTAAACTAATAAACTAATTTGTTTTACAATATTTCACAAATCCAAAAAATGTTGTTTAGCATATTTTAAATTTAATTAGAAGAAAAGTAAGCGAATAATTAGATGTATATTTTTATTCGAACAAACTTTTATATCTTTTGTTACTTCTTTTCATTAATAATTCGAAAATATCTTAGTGAATGATTTGCAATGATTTGAAAATATCTTAATTTTCAGTATTTTATCAGTATTGAGTGGTAAAACTAATTTTCAACTCCAGTATCAGCTTATATTTTCCTTATGGTGTCTTACGTTTAATCCGGCTATAGCTGAAAAATTTCCACATACTGGAGCTATTCAGATTCTTGGTGATATTCTATCGGAATCAACTAAGGAAAAGGTAAAATTATATATTTTTTATATATTTGTTTTTTTCTCAGTTCATTTTTTAAAATTAGTATGTATATTTGTATGAAGATGGTTTATTATACATGAGTTTGGAGTGTTATTGTTAATGTTTTTTATCATTTTACTTTTTGTTTTCGTCTCTTTGTAAATGTTTGTAAAAGTTTACCAATTCTTAAATTCTTAAAATTAATAAAAATTTATTATTAAAATTAAACAATTGTTAAAATTATTTTGTCATAGGTAATTCGCATAATTCTGGGAACGTTCCGAAATATTCTGGAGAAAATTGATGATCGTGATCTTGAACGAGAAGCAGCTTTGCAAATGGTGCAATGTAAGACTTTAAAAACACTTGAACTAATGGACTCTAAAAAATTTGATGATGACGAACTGAATGATGATGTTGAATTTCTCGATCAAAAATTGCATTCTTCGGTTCAAGATTTTTCTTCGTTTGATGAATATGTATCGGAGGTATGTTCTAAGTGATAATTTCCTGATAAGTTTGTTTTACCAGAAGTTTGAATAAACTTGTTGAATTCTGTAGCAAATTTTAACATATTTTAAACTTTAAGACTATTCTATATTTATTTTAGAATTTACTCAGTTTTTTTTTTTTTCGTTTATCAAATCAAAAAAACGATATATTATACAAATAAACTTAAGAAGACTTTGTTTTTTCAATCCTTTTTTTTTTTTTTTTTAGGTTAAATCAGGTCGGTTGCAATGGAGTCCAGTTCATAAATCAGAAAAATTCTGGAGAGAAAATGCACAAAAATTCAATGAAAAAGATTTTGAACTTTTAAGGCAAGTTTTTTTTTCTTTTCAGTTTATAACTGAAAAACATTGAAAGAGAGAGTATATCAATCGGTTTTATTTTATTATTTTTAGGATTTTGATCAAGATTTTGGAAGTACAATCGGATACATTAGCTCTTTGTGTAGCAGTACATGATATTGGAGAATATGTAAGACATTATCCGAGGGGTAAAAAGTTCGTTTTTTTTTTTTTTTTTCTTTCTCTTGATAAGATTGTATATATATTTTATATACTTGTATATTTTTTTGTTGTTTTTTTTTTCATTTCAGCAAGATTGAGCAATTACAAGGTAAGCAAGCAGTAATGAAATTACTTTCGGCAGATGATCCAAATGTACGTTATCATTCATTGCTTGCAATTCAGAAATTAATGGTGCATAATTGGGAATATCTTGGCAAACAATTAGATGCTGATAATGCAGCAGCTGCAGCTGAATGAATGAATATTGTAAATGTATTTATATATATATGTATGTATATTAATTAGTTTATATTAGATTAATTATATTAATTAGTTTATTAATTAGTTTATATTAGATTGTATTGTTTGTAGGAAATTGTAGGAAATTTTTACAATTCATACTATTCAAATTTCTAATTGAATCAATTTAAAATTGTAGATTTTTCAGCGTGTCAAATTTTGCTGACTTTTATAGGGCTAACTATATATATGTCTAATGTCTAATTACTAAGATGCTTTTAAAATTTTTAATGTTTTGGAATTAGAATAACTTTTGATGGTTAATGAATTTTTCATTTTTTGATGGTTAATGAATTTTTCATTTTTTGATGATTAATGAATTGCTTGAGTAATTAATAATTAAAAGGAAAAGTTTTTTAAAAGCATCTTAGTAATAAAGCGTAGACTAATTAAGAAAGATTTGTTACAAAAAAAGAAAAAAAAAAATTTTTTTTTTTTACCTGAAAAGAAAAAATAAGTTAGCAAAAGAAATAACAAACGCTTAATTACATTTGCTTAAATTAACAACATTCAGGATCCAATGAGTGAGTGAAAAGAGATCAAGAAACTTTTCAGACTAGTTAAATTTTTTTCATGCACCATTATGTTTATTCACTTTCTAACATTCTAGATCATTCATTCCATCTGTAGTGGATTAATATTTTTTCAATTAAATTTCACATCAAAAGGGTAATTTCAGTTGATGTGTTTTCATATGACTACAATATAATCTGTGATCATTGCATAGTTTCATAGAGAATTAATGATATTTTTTTTTTTTCTTTTTGATGCAATAAAATATGTCTGAAAAAAATAAGTCTAAGTCTAAAAGTTTGACATATGTTTGAAATTGGTGTCAGGTATTTTTCGTGTGAAATGGTCTTGAAATCAAGCATTTAAAGGAGCAATCAGAATCATCTGGGATATACTTACATATTACTACCTGAAGGGTTGGATAATGGGTTACGTTACGTTTTAATATGTCCACATCTTTAAAACAAGCCACAAATTATTGTAAATAGCAGAAACTTGTTTATAACCATACTGATTTAAGTTACAACAATGAACCAATAACAAAAATTACTTTCAATGCCTTCGCCCACGTCGAATTTCTTTTGCTTTTGGAGGCAGAATAATGCCATCATACTGAAACAAATGAAAATAATGAAACTTTGCGTAACGAATATATTAGTTCTGCAAGACAAATGAGAACCTTATATAAGAGTTAGAAAGACTTTATCAGAGGTATGAGTGGCTTCAATAATGAAATATGAAAATGCTGATAATTTCAAATAATTTTTAATGGTATGAAGGAACTTCGGCATTTATTCTTTCTTAATAAAGGTCACAAGTTCAAGCTCATTTATAACAAGCATACCTTTTGCTGAAACCATTTTACTGCTTCCTCTTTCCCTACACGATGTGTGTGTCCAACACGTCCACGAGCACGTCTACGTTTCGCAACTCTATGACCAGCACGTCCGAGAACAACATAGAAGTCCATGCCGTAGATACCAATCAACGGGTCATATTTAATTCCCAAATCGATATGCTCCTGTATTCCGAAACCGAAGTTTCCAGTGTCTGAGAAATTTTCTCGATATAATTCATATTCTTTCACCTACAATTACAAGGAAATTTGTTTCAACAAAAAAAAAAAAGTGCGTAAATATTTAAAGAAAATGGAGGTCAGTTCATTTAATTCATGCCTTCAATTTACCTAAATACTTAGCCATCTTTCAAAAAAAAAAAAACATAACAAAGAAATCTAAAATCAAATAACTAGTAGAATCGCTCTAAAATACAGACTAACACATTAACACCTAATTTTTGGATGAACAAACTTCAGAAGGAAAATTATACGAAACATTAATTAATTATCTGTACAATAGATGTTGTATTACAATTTTCTCTGCAACGGACGAAATAATCACTAAGCATTTTTGTCCAGTTGAACGAAAGTACAGTCCAAAGTACAGCTCAGATCAAAAAATGGGAAAGTGATAAAAGAGGATGTAATAAAATTAGGAACCTTCAAACCACGCTCAATGATTTCTTCAGCTTTCGGACCCCTTACGGTACAGTGCACAGCAATTTTCTCGTTACGACGAATACCAAATGATCGTACGGTATATCTTGCTTTCGAAAACACCGGTGTTTGACCAGTTAGTTGTTCAAGTACCTGAAAACACGAAACAGACTAATTCGTATTATGGCTCATTTACACATCAGTCAGTTTTCATCTACTAGAATTGATCATATGTAGCTCACTCTATATTTTAGAGGCTTATATATGAAATATTTTCACTGTATGGTAATAAAAAGACTCTACATACTAATCTCAGAAACAACAAAACATTAATTTACTACTCCAGAGCAAACATTTTACTGACGGATGTCAGAAAAGGGACATTTTAAACTGTTTGAAAATGTGCTACAGGTATGGAGAATTTAACATACACTGACAGATCATCACTATTAAGACAGATGAAAAATAACCTCAAAACTAGTATTACTTATCAACAGTTGTGAATGTATTATATGTTATCTAAATCAATAACTTGTCACTTCTTTCTTTTCATTTGCAAGAATTTGTGACGAAAACAGATGAAAGCATACCTTAGCAGCACGTGTAAGTCTATCACCTGATTCACCAACACAAATATTTAGGCATAATTTCTCAATCTTCAACTCCCTCATTGGATTGGCCGCCTTTTTCTCCCTAATTTCAGCAAGCTGCTCCGCCTTGCCCATTTTTTACACTACCTGAAAAAGAGGCTAAACTTCCTGCGAGAAAATGAATATCAGAAGAAAACAAAACCCATATACGAATACCGAAAAAGAAACATATTAGAAAACAAAAAGAAGCACGTAAGAAACACTAAAAAACCGTAAACATAGCCGTGAACTTCTGAGTCTGAACGAAACGTAATAATAAGTATAACTGTACGATGCAAGAATGATGACAAAGTTTTTCTCATTAAGTGTATAATTAAATACAAGCAATATTTATTTGTGTAGTAGTAAAACTTTATGCATATTTATGCAATACTTTTTCTCAAAAAAAAAATCGCTGCAAATTAAATATTTCAAATAACAACTGTATTCATTAACGTTACATCTAAAATCTAAGCAACATTTTAACAGCATATATAATACAAGAATAATTCAACATTACCTCCTTTAAAAAAAAAAAAAAGAGAAAAAAAACCCCTTCTAATGTCTGAAATAAATTTCCATAAGTTAATTTATGATAAATTCTTTTCCCTATGAATGAAATTTTCTAGTATTTTCATTCATAGGCTAATATTTATCTGAAAAATCTCATGCCACTTCTTTCTCTCACTCTTCTCCAAAATAACGGAAAAACTAAAAAAAAAAAGAAAATCCATATCCAAAAAAGAAGGATTAATCTATAACCATTATGTAAACATGACGCACGTAAACGTCAAACACGTAAACAATCAAAATCCCAAACGTAACACCCAAAATCTATTGTCCCAGTTGTTCCTATACCTTCACACATACGACAGGAAACGCGGTCCACGCATTTTAACGCTACGCGTTTCGATCGATTGAGATGCAACGATTTCGAATCACTCTAACGAAGTTTATTTCATTGCTTCTTTGGTTTATTTTTTCAATTTAGGTTGATCATACTGTTTTTTTTCTTTTTTCACACGTATAGTATCTTCACGTCACGTGTGAATACTAGAATAAGACGTAGTGATTCCATTTTTCATACATATATGAAATTATTCCACGTCAGTGCATAATTACTTCACTTTATATTATTTCAAAGTTGCATACTTTTACTTTGGAACTGTACTTTTTACTTTTGCTAGTTATTAGTATTGAAAGTAGATGTCAATCTGATGAACTTGTACTAATCCAATGTCTTTTGTTCAGTTATGTGAACTTATCAAAATTGTGATTAGATTGTTTTAAAGTAACACATGTATATATTTCTTAAATGATTTATTTGTTTTAGTAACTTTTTATTTTTGTTTAACAGAATTAGTGGCATTTTTTCTTTTCGATTCTCTATGGGATATTTTTTTATTTAAAAATTTTGCATATTTTACATTGTATGCTGTGAAATTTTGATTGCGATGTATCATATTTTGAATAAATTCTTTCAGTTACTTAACGGTGATGTTTCCAGTTTCTAAACGTAAAACGTGTCATGAAAGCAGGCTGCAACTTCTAGTTCAAACATTAGCTGTGATTTAGTCTAAGATGTGAACCGGAAGCGAGTACTAGTGTAATAAACTTTTGCTAATCCAAAGTACTTTTTTTTTGCTTATGTAAAACTTGTCCATTAAACAATCATTTGCATGTGTTAATGAAATTGAATCGAAAAATGTTAAAAACAAAAGATACCCGAGAAATATAAACTTTCTGTATTTGATCGGACGATAAAAAATGGCGGAAATTTGAACGTACGTTTGCATTGATTTGCTTTAACAAAATTGCATTTTTTATTTCCTTTTTTAGCTTCCATGCTAACTACCTTAATTGAGAAGGCATTTGTTCGGGCACTTCGCGGTGAGATAACAGATGAAGAAGCTGCTGATCAGATTGCTGATTCATTTGGCGCTGATTCTATTACCAATAATTTCCAGGTATTAAATTTTCTTCTCTTAATTTTAATTGATCATGCATTACTAATCTAAGCTGAAGTTATCATTCGATTTTTTTTTTTTTACATTTATAAACTTACATTATTCCAGCAAGGTGTCATGTAGATGCGGCTAAAGAAACGTCATACTTGTCTTAAGTTTTACATCAGTAACCTTTAATGATTGATAAAGATTTATTTAAAATTAACATTTGTTGGATATTGCAGAATTATGTCAATGGTGTTGAAGTTCAACATAGTATTAGCAGTGATGGAAAGATGTAAGTCATTATTACTTACATTTAATTTTAATTGAACTTAAGTATGCTACCGTTCTGCATCCAGTTTTACATGTCACCCAGATTTCAGTATTATATAGCGAAATTTGTTAGTAATTATTTTTTTAAATTTCATCATATATTGAGCATCATTCTTTAGTGATACAGATTCACTTCTAACGAATATAAGAATAAAAAAGTATGGGGATTGTTTTAAATTCTTTATTTTTAGAATAATGAAATGTAAAACTTTTTTTTTTTGCAATATTGTTATTTGCATTAATATTGAAGAGTTAGAGAATGAGGCTTTCATTTTTAGGGATATTTCTGCTAATTTACAGCCACAGCTATATCAGCAACAGCAGCCGAAAGTGCTTGGTACTATAACTTTGGGTGATTTGCATCCTGCTCAAATTGCACAATTCCAGGTAAAGATTTGATTTATTTATTTTTAGTTGTTTCAAATAGATTTTGGTATTTTTTAAGGGTTTTTATCCATATTTCTGTTAACCCCTGAATGGAACTATCAATTTTTCCTGATTGTTTAGCACAAAGTTTTCGTCATCAATAATATATACGCGACGACTACATCCGTAAATACCTTCAAAAACTTCATATACTTTGATGTTCAAATATTCTTATATGTCTAGTTGCTTCTTATTAATTAATTAATTGTTGTAAGACGTTGATTTTTTTTTTTTTTCAGGCTGAGAAGTAAATTGATGATTTATTTTTCACTCAAGATTTATAGTTGCATAGGATGAATATATTTCAGCAGGCGTTTGCAGAAGCCAGTAAAGGATTAGCTTCATCAGTTGTATTCAATGTGCCGTTGCAAAAGACTGATAATCCAGAAGAATATTTTACAGACGAAGATAGAGAAAGGTAGAGTGTGATGTTCTTCTGAATGAAACATTTATCATTCCATCGATTAATTTTTCTTCTTTCAAACTTGATTTTCAACTAATATATTGGGTGTTAGGAGTGGAAAAAAAAATGCAAGAAATGATTATGATGAATATTATAAGTTTATATTGCCTGTGTTTTCAAGTTTAATTCCAAAATGATAATATTTGTGGAGATGATTTGAGGGATTTGAAGAATGTATATATTTGCTATATAAAAAAATAATTTGTTTGAGAACTTTAAGTCTTAAAATTTTGCTAAAGTTATAGTTACATGTTTACTTCGTCTTATTTGTTTTAATTTTTTGCAGATGTGCTCTTCTTCAAGAATTAATAACCGGTCAGCGCCCGTTAATGTTGCATCCTTATGTATTCCTTCTAAATCGACGCTTTAAATGGACTGATATCGCCATTCCTGTTACTGGGACTGATAAGTTGGTCCTATTTATCATTTTTAAAGTTTAGAATTTCTAGTTTTAGACTTAAAATTTAAAGTATTTTATCGGTTAGGAATATTGCATGTGTGTTTTATCTGAAATAAATATCATTTCGACATTCATATAATATTCAACTATTTACTATTTGTCAGGTTTCGTGTTTATCGACTAAACCAAGCACGCAATTCACGATGTTATTATCGTTGTTCAGGCTGTGAGACAATGGCAAAAGAACCTGGCGATCCAATTGCCCAAATAAAACTTGCTGATGGTTATTTCTGAATTTTTTTATTTAAATCCTATCAATAAATGATTGGTTAAATTGTAGAATAATTTGTTGAAATACCAATGTCAATTTTGTTTACTGCTGATTGCATAGTTTCCGATGTTAATTTAAGATTAATGCAATTGAATTGCAAGTTCAAGCTGATATTTGCACATTTTTTTTTGTTATAGGTCATTTGGTAGGTGATGTTAATCCAGTCCACAATTTAAAATGTGAATTGTTTACATTTTCCAATATTGTTAACCGGCAGTTCGATAGGGAAGCTCGTCTTGATGTTTACAACGCTATTATGAGCCCAAAAGAGGCATGGAATAGGGTAATTATCATTTTTTCTCCAAAGTTTACAAAGAATTTTCAGTTATAAAATTATAAAACAAAAATGATGGATGGATCGGTTTATAAGGTAGCTTCAGCAATACGAGCTAAGCAACAAAATCAATTAAGTATATATATAGCAGTATTTAGTAGTTTCACCCCCAAAAGTATCTTCTATAAGTCAGTATTTCTGTGAATCATCTGGTTTTTTTTTTTTTTTCATTTTTAGGGTCGGTTACGAGCTCTCAGAGCAGAGAGTTTGGCACCTAAAGGTTTGCTAAATTCAGATGAATATCCGACGTGGGATGTGATGAACAAAGTTATCATGAAACTATGGAGAAGTGCTGTTAGTTTTTTTTTTTTTTTATGTTTGTTTATTTCATTTTTTACTCTTTATATTTTATTTGTAAATCATTAATGAGAAAATTCTACTTTTTGTTAGCTATGTTTACATTACTTGTATCTGTGTTAGTAATGGAGATTTTTTGGTGTTCAGCAGACGAATAGCAGTAGCAAAAGGTTTCATCCATTAACGAAGGGTTTATTTTTTCATGTATCTGATGAGACTATAATCACAGAATATTTCCGGTAGAATTGATCATTAAATCGTTTTTCTTGATTATTCTCAGGAAAATTTTGTAGGAATTTGATTGAGGCTATTGTTTAGTAGCGATTTAACGCAGTTTTGGTAGTGAAATTGGATCGAACCAAGTATCATTGTTTACGAATGGTGTAAACATGAATAAAACCCTTTTTTTTTTTGGTCAGTAAATGAGCTGAGAAGATGATAGGATAAAGAGAATTCTCAATAAATTAAAGGATTGTATTTATTGAAATTAATCCTGATTATGAGTTTACAACTTTTTAATAGTTAGATATAAACTTGGGTTGTTTGAAAATATTATGTAATGA